GTGTCCATAATGTAAATGCTCAGTTTGCATGAAGCTAAATATGAGGCAAAATTTACATGCTCAAAGTTAAACGTGTGGAAGTGATTGGGATTGGAGCTGTTGGGTGAAATTCAAATAATATAACTTTAAAAGTCTAAAAGTTACTTGTGTAAATCTTGCCAAATCACCTTAGACTACTCAGTTAATGGAGATAAGTGTATACTTTTTTTTGTGCTTGTCTTAATCATGGGAATTACCCTGTGAAGGTGTATATTCCTTCAATTGACTAAAAAGGAAGCATGCCCTATTAGATATAGAAGAATAGATAAGGAAGCGTGCAAGATATTAGATTCATACAGCCAACATTTTGATGCTTAAATGCATTGAATTGAATCTCACCCAACTATACCATTTTGGGAAAGATGAAATTTAAAATTAAAATCATAAAATAATGCTGCAAACGTATGGTAAAATATGTAGCACAGAATCCTGCAATGGGAATATATATGTTTGTAACTATGGTCAGTGAAGACATTTTCACAAAATATGCTAAGCTGGAAGGGACCCACGAGGATCATCAAGTCCAATTTTATGATTTTCTATGATTCTCTGAGGCTAAAATTCAGCCAGGGTGCCTCCATCCAGTGCAGGCAGACAGGAGTAACAGGACAACCCCACCCCAGACATTCGGCACCTCCCTGGTGCCCATGGCTGGGGAGGGGAGGGCTGTGGGGAGCTGGAAATGAATCCTGGTGCAGGAGGGTGACTCAGGGGCTGACATGGGGTCCTAGGTTGGGAAAGTCAGGGCTGGTGGTACCACCAGGGCCCTGACACTTGTGTTAGTTCTCAGTTGGCCGTATTTGTATCAGCAGTCATTTTTTTGCTTGCATTGTGCCAATTTATGCAAGATTAAAGGGTTGATTTAATTTTTCAATTGCCTTCTCTCTGGAGAACATAAGTTCTCCATACAAAGTGACAATTTTAAGCAAAAACAAAACCAGAAGCTAATTCTGTCTGAGAAAAAAATATGTGAAGATTTGGGTAATTAAATTGATGGTAGTTAGAATCATAGTTTAATTATATGTGTAGCTGAAAATGTTTGTTCAGAGCAGTTGAAATCAAGGAATTTATGATGTTAGGAGGCATTAAACTGTCCTTCCCAAATTTGGTTCTTTATTCTTCTCTTTGAGATATATATTCTCTCATGAACAGATTAAAAGTATCTTTATGAAGAGAATACTAGAACATAAATTGTAAATTTACAGTTGCGAATTTCTGTAACTTTAAATATACCTTTCATTCCTAAGTGCAGCATTTGGAGTTAAATAGTAAATCAATATGGGAATCAAGCAAGAACAAAATTATTCAAACAAGTAATCTGGGGTATGATTAACATTTAGAAGCAAATAATATGCTTAAATTTAATATAAGTAATAAATACTTAAATAGAGGCAAAGAAATTACTTGTTGTGAGTTTATAAAGCTGCTGGTGCTTTGAACTGGATATCAGCCCTTCATAATTCAGCTTCCTGCTTAGACTCAGGCTCATTCCTAAGACATCACATTAGTTTTATGGATCTGATTGCTTTGAGGTCAATGGAGCTATGACAGAGGAAAAAGTGGTATAAAAATATTAAATACTTGCATCAATTTTATATTTCTTACATCTTGCTCTGACTTCACAGTTAGCAGAAACCTGAAACAGTCATCGTAGCTGAGAACATATGAAACACATAGGTTTGAATGTGAGTTGAAAGAGGGAACTAATAAACAATTTAGCTACCATTTTATCAGTCTGCAGATGTCCTCAATCCTGAGTTTTGGCTTCTGATTAAAGGCAATTGTCCATGCTTTTGCATCGTTTCCTTTTAACACTCTTATGTGTAATTATTGATTGATTTATTTAATATTCCAGTTCGGTTTATGTCTGTGGAAATTTCATGAAGGCTTGCACTTTTCAAGTAATATTTTGAAAGAGGGAAATGGAAAGTTTCAGTAATTGTTGAGACCACTGATTATAAGGGGTTCTGTACTACAGAGGGCATAAAAACTGATCCTCAAAGCATTCTATACAAAATAGAAATCTGTAAAGTGCAGATTATTTATGTCATTTGGCATGTGCTAGCTGCACATTAGAGATTTATAAATACATTTTTCTGTAGATGTTTGGTGTGTACGGTTTGCCAGTGAACCCGTCGGGTGCTGTGCTTAACTAATAATAATTTTCAAGTTACCACATGTGTTTTCATATACAGGAATATGTTGATGGATATATGGACAATTTCATGGGTGAGATGACAAATAGTTCTTAATGTTTTTAGCAGAATAGGTATTTGTTTTAATCTCTTTACTTTTTATTTATGGGATGGTCATTTGTCCATTACCTTTGTCTCTAGTCAGAGTGCAGGAATTTAACATAATCTAGGACTTTTTCAAAATTCACAGGTACGTGGTAAAAATAGATTACAGTGTTATGCCATGTTTTACAAAGGTCCACTTACAGAACAGGAGAAATTAAAGTAGAAATGGTAAGCATGGTAAGCATCAGAAATACATTCAGGAATACAAAAAAAAAAAAAAAAAAAAAAGAAAAGAAAAGGAAGATTTTTTTTTCTTGAAATTATTGCTGCTGAAATGTGACAATCTGAAAGTACTTCTTACAGACAGCAGACTGTTAAGATGTGTCAGTATGATTCAATATTGCATACATTTGACATTTCTGAACTCATTGCTGGAAAGCATCATGCCGACAGTAACACAGTTTTTAAGCTCTCTCTCCTTTGCTAGTAACTTTAGGATCTGTTGTATAATCAGCTAAGCAGGATCCAGTGAAAGTCTGAACTCTGAAAAGATTGAAAACTAAATCAGGCAAGTCTCTGAAAAACAGACTATACAAAATATTGTACTGGGAAGAGGATGCAGCAGTGGATGACTAGTAACACTTGAACATGCATGTTTTTCATAGCATCATAGAATAGTTTGAGTTGGAGGGGGCATTTAAAGGTCATCTAATCCAGTCCCCCTGCAATCTTCAATTAGATCAGGTTGCGAAGAGCTCTGTCCAACCTGACCTTGAATGTTTGCAGAGATGGGGCACCCACCACTTCTCTGGGCAACCTGTTCCCATGATTCACCACCCTCATAAGGAAAACATCAAGTTTTAGACATTAAATTCTAATTTGAAACACAGAGAAGAAAACAGCTCTGAACTGCAAGTCAGGCCTCAGGTCAAGAAGTTAGTGAGACAGAGTTGATACATTCGCGGTTTGGATGAGTTGGAAGATGGAGATGTAAATCCCAGTGAAAAGGACAGAAAAATGCTGTGCAGCAGTGATTCTGTTGTAGGAGTAGCAAGGACAACTTTAAGTGCATTAGAACAAGAAACAGAATAAACACTGAGAGCCTAAGCATGGAGAAAATAATAAGAGAAAATTAAAGGTGATACATGTGTTGTGGTCCTACAGGTTGAGGAGAATAAAGATGCATTAACAAAGAATCACTTAGAGCTAAAACTCACACATTCAAATATGTGAATATCCTTGTATGCAAGAGGAGGGAAGAGATGGGTGAAAAGAAACCTATAAGAATATCATAGATTTTATTGAATGCGAAGAAATCTTAATATTTAATAAGAGAAGTTGTTAAAAGAAAATTCTTACTATATGCTTAACACTGGGCCACCTTAAAACTTGTCTACTTTTGTGAGGGTTTGCTGATGAAATTGTGTAGATGGTACGTTCTCCAACTGTACCTCCTCTAAATGGAGATAAAACATTTACCAGCAAGAAGCTGATTTGAATATCATTTAACTCTCTTCCCTAAGTAGGAAAAGTTATACCGGTACAAGACTTGTACTAATATAATTGTGTCTGTAGCATGTTTTTTGCCTTTTTAGTTGTTACTTTCAAGTGCAAAGGCTTTTCCTTCTATATCCATAAGACAGGTATGCCAACAGAAGTTGTGAGTGTAGACCATGTCTCATTGGCTCTGAGTAAAGCCACAGTGCTGACGGAGATTTCCTGACATGGCCAAATTAATTTGTATCCTTTTAATGGCAGTCATTAAGACTGACAAGTAGCTATTTGTAGTTGCATCAGCAGAAAAGCAGGTTGTTAAAGATCATAGTTCCCATGTTCTGCAGAGAACTATGCTTTTAATTCCTTATAAGTAATTTTCTCTCTTCAACAGCAGATGCTTCAATTTATGGTAAAAAGAATAAAGCCCAGATTGCTTTCACAGTCTGCACTTTCATCCCTTGTCAGAAATTAGTCTGGTAATGTACGAAAGTGGTGTACAACAGCCTTGGATTTCATCATCAGGAAGATAACCAGAGTCTGAACAGGTCAATAAAGTGCATGGCAGATAGCAAGACATATTCTTTCTTATTGGCTGGTACAGATGTGAAAGTCTGTAGTGACTGAACATTAATCTCACTGCAAAGTTCTGGCAAATCATTCCCCCCGCCTGTGTACTTGGTTTGCGTATTAACATGTGTGGATAACAACTACATATATGTGAAATGGTTTATATTTATGACAGCCAAAATTAAAGTGATCTGTGGGGCCTCTGAAATCCTTCAGGGAATCAGGGGAAGCCTATATTATGCTTAGAAATGAGTCCAAACCTGGTATGTGAATCAGAATTCAGCTTTGGGCAGCTCAAGTGTTTTGATGTGAGATCCTCTTTTAACAGGCTTTCTGGCTTACACTAAGGGTTGGCAGTATCTCGCAGACAGTGCTGCCCTTTTCATCTTGCTTTTGTTTGTAGTCCTTTGGGAAAAGGGCTAAAATATTCGGAATATAACCTTTCTAAGTGTTCTTGGTAGCACACTCAGAAATGTGGAAGGATTATTTGATAGAGGGCTTTCAGCATTCTGGTGCCTGCAGAACCATGGCTAATCTTTCTAATCTTCTTTATCTGAAGTAATCTGTATGTTCTATCCTCTCTTCGTGTATGTGTCTTGTGCCGAAACTGCACTGACAGAAAGCTCTAAAATGCTTGTTTTTGTTTCTTTCCAACAGCTGGCTGTCCAGATTCCTTGATTAAAGAGCTTCATCACTTCAGAATTCTGGGAGAAGAACAGGTGAGTTAGCATCTGAAAGGCAGCATCTTAATGTCATGAAAGATAGTCGCTAATGAGACAGTTTCATCTCTCTCCAGGGAGACAGAGTGTATCTCATGACCCCCAATGACCTGAAATGTGGGGAAAAAACCACACAGGAGTTCTATGTGAGAGTTGGTTTTTTTTTCATTCTGTCCGTCAGCCTTGACAGGTTATTAATTGGTACATCTGCTACCTGCCACAGTTTTTCAGCTTTTGACTACAGCAGTAAACAGACTCTCTAAAGCAGCAGATAGACAAACAGTCTGACTAAGGGATTGGCACTTACAGCTACTCATGATATTATCCATCTCTTTCTGTGGTCTTTTCTCTCTTTTAAAAGAGTGCTTCTCATAATTATAGCTGTGCTTTGCACTCAGAAAACTATTTCTGTAGAGGGACATTTGCATAAATTAAGTATGCTTTAAAACACAGGGTGGTCAGTTGTTATTTTGTCAATAATGAAATTCACATACAGAGATACTAAGAAATGGTCTTAAATTCTGAGACACAAGCTGAATTTTCAAATGCTTGATGCTTCTGAAGTTCAAATTGTCTTTGCCTCTGAAGTATCCCTTCTAAGGTACTAGTTATAAAGCCTGACTGCCTGAGATAGAGCTGCAGGTGCTAGGGACCTAGTGGCTGAAAGCTCAGCATTAGTGTGTTGTACATGAGAATATCCATGTCTTTTAATGAACCAAGGGACTTGCACAAGGTTGTATGAGGGCTATGACAGAGGTAGGAACAACTCCTGAGATGTCAATTCAAAACCTTATTTCTTAGTTTTTAGATGAGATTATATTGTCTAGAACACCATGTTGCTTCTCCTTTCCCTTTTTTATTACAGTAAGGGCTGCTGTTAACGTTTTCTAGACTTCCAATTTTCCTCCACCAGCCCCCCACATCAGTTTTTATAGAGAGTCACAAGCCAGGTTTCTCAGGGACTCGACTTTTCCTCTGTAAGAAGGCAGCATGAAGGGCAGTTTGGGAGGGTCTATCTGAAAAGAATTGGAAGAAAAAAAGACAAAAAACAGGCTAGGTCAAAGTTGATACTTCCAGCAGGAATCTGGTGAGATGGAAGACTTGGGAAGAGGAAATAAGAGAAGTTATGACCAGAATTGGTGGGGCCCAGACACTGGTTAGAGCTACCTGAAAAATGGAGGGCACAGTATGATGAAGTCTGGTTAGACTAAGAGATGGGGTTGGCTCATGGAAGAATCTAGGAATAGAAACCAGAATGATAAGGATAAGGGTATGACAAGGAGCTGCGACCAAGGACTGGAAGGGAATGACCAAATATGGAAACTTGCTTGGTAAATAAAGGAATATCTGCACTTTATGAGCTGCATGAGGAGGTGAAGCTAAGCAGAGTAGGAGGAGTGGGACAAAAGGAGAAATTTGAAGGAAAAGTAAGGAACAGCTAAACCAAGAGACTGCAAGTATGAGAGAGAGGGCTGAACCAGACAGACTTGACAGCTCCACTGGCAAAGCTCTGGAGTTGTAGACCTTAGCCTGACTAATGACCACTGACAGAGCAACATATTTTAATTGATGGACTTTGCAAGTAGTGACCATTGCCATGAGGCTTGAATTATTATATTCTGTCCCTACAAAAGCATTGTTATAATGAGTCTACTGAATACCACAGTAGATTTTGTTTGAAGTTAGCACACACTTTGACAGTCAGGAAGTAAGTTAGTGCAGAAACCAAGATTAAAAAAAATGAAAATACATATAAATGAAGAAAGAAAGGAATTTCAGGCAAAATCCTTATTCGCATGACTATCCATTTATTTCTTATATTTATTTAATTAGATATTTGCTTTTTAAAAAGATCTGAAGTGTGTCTTTTTCTGTTATCATGCATACTAGATAGAAAAAAATATAATTAAACACTATTTTATTCAGACTGCTTACAACTTCAGTATTATAAAACATCATTTATTTTCTTCCACTCCAAGCAACAGCCAAAGAATAATAGGGACATATTCCTGCTTCATGTCCAATCTTGATATATTTTTAAAGTGCTTATGTGTTTAAGGCCACAATATAAAAGCAGAATGTACTATTGTGATAATCTGTTCTGATCTCCTTTAGAATACACATTACATGACTTTCTTGGATTAATTCTTGTTTAAACTGGAGTATATTGCCTAGAAAAACATCCATTCTTTGTTTACAAATCACTTGCAGACTTTAGATCCTATTATACCTCTCAGTAGTGAAAGACAAAAAATTCCCAGCTTCTTTTCTTCCACCACTGTCCCACCACCAGCATGCTTCCTATGTTGGATATCTCCCATTCCTCAGTGTCCTTTGCATTTCCAGTTCCCTTTGTCTGTCACAAGGCAATAGGTGATCATCATAATAAAATGTTACCTCAACCTATGAATGCAGCTCAGAATAAACCACCATAGCCCTGGAACAGGACTAAAAAAAATTGCTTAAACACAAAAGGGATTCTGTTTGTCAGTCAGACTGTCAGCTAAATATGTTTCAGACAGAAGGAAGGAATCTTTGGGTTTAAAGTGGAAATTCCCACTGGAACTTGTGGGTTCCAGTCAAACCAGTGGCTGCCCAATAAGAAATATAATTTCTCTTCTAGAGATTTCTATTTGTTCGCCTAAGAGGTGTCTTAGTGCTTTTGGACATATGTGGGCATAGCTCAGATTCAGCTCAGAAGCCATCACTCTGCTTCCCAGACAGAAATCTCACTCTGTGCCATTGTGGGCAATAATGTGTTCCTAGAAAAATAACTTTACATGTGACTGTGCTGAAAAGTAATTTGTTTGCTTAAACCCAGTTTGCCAGCAGTTCAGATAGTCCTGCAGCACGAACTCCATGAACTCAATGATCCATGTTACATATCCGTTACTTCATCTTCTCAAACTGTTACAAGCTTTATCACTGATGTTCTATGTTCTTACTTTTCTTCCAAGTCACTGATAAAAATTTTAGATGGCATAAGGCCACGAATAAAAACCTTAAGGACCTTTTTGGAAACACATCTGCTTAATAATTATTGGGCATTTACAGTTATATTTTAGACATGCCAGATAGCTAAATTTTCATACCCTTAATATATGGCGTGTCAATTTTGCATCACACTAGATAATTAATTGAAATGCCAGACAGCAGCAAGATAAATACCTTAGTCTGCTTCATCAACTCTCTTACCTTTATCAACCACATTTCAGTCAAATTAAGACCAAGCAACAAATTGCTGGTCTCTACCTTTTGTTCACTGAGTATTTGTTTCCTGTATATGCTGATCATATAAAATGTTTCTTGTTGTCATTAGGAGAGAAAGGTTTTGAGTGGCTTTCAGGATCATATAAATGTAAGCATTGATGGAAAACTAATGCTGAGGAAAAAAGGCTATATGTTTAACTAGAAGTGTGAAGCGTTGCTGATTAATATTTCCTAAAAGGAGTTGTGTAGTAATAAAACACTTTTTCTAATAGTCAAACTTCTTGGTAGTCTCCTGGACACGTAAAGTTTTCATGTCTTCTGTTCCCTGAGGGAATGTATGTCACAGGAAAAAGCATTCCAGCTGGAAAGTCTATCTTTTAAGGTTTAGTTGGTGGCGAAAAGATGGTTTTATAGGAAGACATAATCATAGTCTGTGTGGTGAAGTAGAAGAGTACAAGCTTCCCTGGTACATGATACACATTATGGATACCTAACTTACCACATAAAACCAGCTTCCAGAGAAATTAATATGCAACACAAATAGATTTAGCAACAGATTGCTATGCCACTTGATACTTGACCCTTTGAGAAGGTGCCAGAGAGTCTGAGCTAGGAAAAATCTCCAGAAGCAGCTTTAACTGCTTTCTTTTGGACCCCCTTTTTACAGACTCTCACAGTCCATAAAGGTCTGTACAAGACAGAGACAGTCTGCTGGATATGCAGTCCCAGGAAGGGTAAAGCCTGAACCTTTCTAATTGCCCATAGGTCTGCTGAGCTTTCTCTTGCAATTTGATCTCACTGTTCGTAATCCCTCTTTTTCCCCACAGCATAATGAATGCAGCCCAACCTACTGGCTAACTGCTTGATTTCATAAGTAACTGAGATATACTCAGGATTGGGATGAAAGATTTATTAAGTCAGAAGCTACTGAGAAATAGCACAATGTAAGAAAGTTAGTCTCCTGCAGTAGCCATTTGCCCTGTCAGGCTGACTGTCTCTGCAAGTAAATGTAAATGGTTCTACAAGCACGGATAGTACAAACTGCTTACAAAAATATGCTAAAGATGCACTAAATATGGGCTCTGTCCAAATGCAGTGGAAGGCAGGTAATTCAACAAGCCAATGCCAGAGACAGCAGAGACAGCAGAGAGAACACCTTAATTCAAACCTAAACACTACAATATATCAACATAGCAAGATGACTTACAGTGGACTACTACGGAGTCTCCCTAATGACTCCCTGAGAAACTTCTCTCTTGCCCCCAAAGTGATTAAAAAAAAAAATCTTGTTTAATTGTTTAAATGTAATATTGCAATTCATGAATAAAATAGCAGCTGTATCTGAAGGATGGAAGAGAAAACCAATAACACAGGAGCAAGCAATTTGCTGCTGTTACCTGAGTGCCCCCAACAGGTCACAGCACAGATGAAGCAGATGACGTGCTAGTGGCAGGAAAAGAAGCTGCTAAGTAATGTATAGCTGCACTTCTCTGCTATATCATCTGCTCTGACAACTTTGCAGAATGTATCGGCCAGTTCCTTGATATTTTGACAGGGCAATGATCAATTTTAACAGATTTCTCCTATCAGCTGCTACTGCAACTCATATCACTGCTCACTTTTTCCTTAGTAGCGTGAGCGTTTATATCCCTGGAATCTGAGCAAGCCTGAACGGGGACACTTCCTCAGCCCCTCACCCATTTCCTTGCTAGCTGGGGAAAACTTATGCAAAGGAATATCCTGTTTTGGAAATCTGCAGATGCACATTGAAGATGCTTTTCAATGGTGAT